TTTTGCAACTATGTTATGTATATACTAATATGACACATTTAGATACTGATTTTCTATATATACACATTAATGTTTATTGTTGCTCGTATTTTGGAGCTAAGTGTATTACATTTTTAAGGCCAAGTGGTTATTTGCTTGGTTTAATTATAACAGACGATTAACAGAACTAAGTAAAGCCACTTAACTTTATTTCATATATAGTAACTGTAAACACACGTAGTTAAATCATAAGATTTTAGCATCAATTTTAATATTAGTTTTAGTTACGGGTTTAAACATGTGTATGCAAATATTTACGATACACTTGTTTTGGTCAAGCCAAAAAGTGCACATGCAATCTTATCATCTAACAATCTAGACAAAGGTCGGCCTGAGTGAAGAATATATATAGAATGCAATGCATTCTCCATGATTAGACAATGCTGTGACAGTACGCCAAATTTGTACTCAAATTCATTCATTTGCCTCCAAATATAAATAAATAATATAATATGACTAGATTTAACAGAGCCAATCCTTTTTTTTTTTAACAATTATAACGCTACTCATGGTCCATATGGACATACACCATTAAGAGCTAAACTAGTATCTATGAAAATTGGATTTGTAGGAAAATATTAGTTTTTTGTTTCAAGTTTGTCTAATTAGTAGAATAAAATTCCAGTTGACGTGAACAGTGCGCTTAATTATGAACGTTAATGTGTGGTTATTATTATTATTCTTCATATATAGTTTACAAGAAGAAAATCCCCCAATTTTCTTCAAAAACCTGACCTCCAACTTTGTTTACCAATAATGACAATTGTGATACTAACCAATAGAGATCACCCAAAGATTGGAGAGACAGGAGATCGACTTAGGTTTTGGTGAGAGGAAGTTGGGATCCATGACAATGTAAAGGATTTCAGTTATATGAAGTCCATTTATTAATTCACATATATCATTTACTAAAACTAAATTAGGAACTAGGGTTGTGAAAATCTCTGAGGATTGAGTTTCTTTAAAATCCATGAATATGGATGGGCACAAATGGAACATCCAATTCTTTTGAGGTATTTGTAATCCAATCAGTTTTGTCAAGATGATAAATTGTTCTATTCGATCCGTTTTGCAGCTATCCAAATATTGGTGTTCGGCTATTCAAAATAATATTTTAAATAGATATTCAATTTGATCCATATCAATAACAATAAATAATCTAAAGATAATATAAAATTAATAATATTTTATTATAAAATTTACTTCTTAAAACTCTAATGAATAAAAGAATAAATTTACAAAATAAAAATGTTTTAAAACTTACATAAGTAGAATAATTATATATATAATATATATATATATATATATATTTAATTCTTCAAATATGTGTATATATGTATATAATGTCAATTCAGATATCCGTTTCTAAATATATGAATATATATATATATATATATATATCATTTTGTCATTTTTATTTTTAACTGATATTGCATATTATTATTTGATTTTTTTATAAAGTTACGTAGATATATATTATTCTAATCGAACCGGATAATAAATTGAATTAAATTTCATGGATGTTTTGTCTAGCCTTCGTAACCAAATTTGCCAAATTTATAGATTCTTTTTTCTAATAATTTTTCGTGGTTTGAAATGTCTTGTTACCAAGAAGATATCTAATGGAAACACATACACACAAACATTATATATATATATATATATATATATATATATATTGGTCAACTATGTATATATTCTAATAGATACTCCATCCGTTTCATTTTATTTGTCATTCTACCTTTTTGCACATAGATTAAGAAAATATTTAATTTTATATATTTCTAAGATAAAAACACAATTTTCTATACACCTAACCACTTTTCAACCAATAGAAAAATAGAATATTATATAAAACTAATAAATTTTACCTCGAAACTTTAAAACGACACTTAATTTGTGACAAAAAAATAAGCCTGGAATAACATATATTCTGAAACGGAGGGAGTATATTTTAGGGCACTTTGACCCTGGTTTAGTAATTAGATGAGAACGAGTGTTGTCTGGAATATAGCTTCGAAGACTCTAGAGTTGGTTTCCAATATCCACGTAAGCTCAATTTATCAACGTGACATAACTTATATGCTTCAACTTTCTCTTGAAATCATGTTTTTGCATAAAATCATTTGAATCCGGTTCTCTTTTTTGTAGCTTAGTTTAAATGCTAGCTAGAAAGTTATATATGGCAAAAGACATCTGATCACATAACGCTGGATATATATCGATATATCACATGGTGATATTGTTCTATATATATTTTCAATAGGTTAGTTGAAAACCAAAATAGTGGATTTAAACAAAAGATAGATATTTAAGTAGAGGTGACTATTGCAGCTAGGATTGATAAATGCACATAGTTTTTGGGTTGAGTTTTCAGTAAATTAAAAATTTATCATTATATACTAATATTATATTTATATACATATTCAGTAGAACCTCTATAAATTAATACTCGGTATATTAATAATCTCTATAAATTAATAAAATTTTACCGGTTCCAACTTGGGCCGGTGTATAATATGACACAAATCGATAAAATAATAAGATAGTAATATTTTCAAAACTGCCATGTAAATATATAGTCCGATTAAAATCATAAATTAATAATCTATCTATAAATAATTTTATGTAAGTACAATCTAACATTATATTGTTGGATTTATATTTACAGTAAAAATACTTATCTTTTTTTAAAACATTTCATTATATTTTGATAATGTCTAGTCAAATTATATCGAAAACCACGTAACAATTCTATGAAACATAAACTCTACACTAAATAAGATAATAAAATAATGTATAAGTCAAAATCTAAAATTTAAATAAAGTACATACGCTAAAATCAAATATTTTTTTATTTTAAAAACAAAAATGAAAAAAAAAAATCTAAATAAGGAAACTTTTGTAAATTAATATCTCTATAAATTAATAAAGTTTCAAAGTCCCAACATTATTAATTTATAGAGGTTTTCCTATGTATTTTGAGAATACCGGAGCTAGATACCTCTATTAGGCTGTTCTAAGGGTTTTGATCCTTTGTTAATAAGTTAAAAAACCTTCAGTGTCGAGGAAATAACTCTTATAATGAAACAGGTTAGTTTCAGTTCAAAAAGAAATGAAACAGGTTAGTTCATGCGTCGTTTCGAAATTTTGGTCGTCGGTCAAAAAGACACAATTGTGGTATTATATTATAAATATACCTAAAGTTGGATTCTCGAACAGTGGTGTAGCAGAATTTTATGCAAATCACACTGTAGTTTGGTGGCTTAAATCGATTGATACTATGAGGCTACGAGGCAACCAATTAACTTTCGAAAGGTGTAATGGAATTAAACTAGAGATGATCGATGCGATTGAGACTTCTCGATGTGGAATGTGTCTCCAGAAGCCTCCAACCAAGCTACTGTGATCTTTGAACCTAATAATTCCTCTATTTGTATCAGCATTTTATAAATAAAAAAGAAGAAATTAATTTACTACTTTTTCTGTTTCTACAAAAATGTCATTTTGATATTTTTATATATATAAAAATTTCTTGTAAAATTTCAATGAAAATTATATTTAATTAAATTAATTACAAAATGCATTGAATTAGTTACATATCTCAAAAATTATTAAGTAAATAAGTGTAACTAATAAGAATATAAATGCAGTTTACTCCAATTTTTTTTTATTTGTGTGAAAATGTTAAAATGACATTCTTATGAAAGGGAAGAATTATCAATTAACCCTAGTAGTGATTAGATGCTCCAAGTTTTGTGATTGTTAAAAGAGTATTCCAAAGTATTTTGTAGGATAATAATACGATTTGAGGAAGTCACATACAAAAAATTATCAAAAAAGATTAGTAATATATTGAGTTTAATAAGAAATAAATCAATAGGTTTAGAACCAATAACCTAATTAATATCCTAAATCAAATTATTTTAGGATTCAACCGAATTTTGAACACGTAATTAAACCCACATCAAACCTGATAAGCCCGAATTGAACCTGAGATAAATTTTTACAATATTAAAATCTTATATATTAAAACAGAAGTCATGACTTAAATTCATGTGTGATTTTTTTTAAAATGGACTATTACTAGAAAGTCATGTTACATTAACTCTCTAATAATCTTATCATTATTATATCTTATGAAAAATCATATCTATAATAACAAAGATACGCTTAACAATTTAGTTTTGGTAAATTACCCTTAACTTTCCAACTTAGTCACGCAAAATATGTCAATAGATATAAGTTTAGGAATCTTCTATTATTTATAAGGAAATATGTCAATAATAGTTAAATGCATCCACAATATATTAACAAAAATCACAGATTCGTAATATGGAATATTTATATACCCTAACAAAATTTACATGCTATATATACAAGATAAATTTATTTCGATGTAAAATTTTAAAATTATATTGTTTTAAAAAAGAGATTGTTTAAAAAAAAATTTTAATAAATTTTTTTATAATATTAATTTATGAAGTTATAAGTTTAGTTTTTTGCAAACATTTCTTCGAAGTTTATATTATCTTTGCAAATTAAAGTATATTAATATTTAATTAAACTCTATTTATATTACTTTATCTAAAAATGAAATATTAATCTAACAAACAATAATATAAAAAATATAAAAGTGCAACAAAATGTTTATATAACTAACTATAAACGAAAACAAACACCCGCGCGGTTGCGCGGGTCAAAATCTAGTATGAATTAAAATTCATGAATCTGAACCGAAATCCGATTGATACCAATTACCAAGCCTAAACTCATGAATCCGAAATCCGATTGGTACCAGTTGCCAAGCCTTACTTCTAACCCAAGAACCCAGCCGAAATTTCAATATTACCTCTTCCCTATAAACATACTAATGAGATTATAAAGACTTTAATGGGCCGGATGGTTTAAAGCCCAATACATAAGTAATACTGTCATCACAGATGTGTATTATCACAGACATTCACAATCACAAAACCATGAGATCAGATAACCTCTGGACCAGAAAACCAGAACTCAAAACCGGCAAATCTGAGTTTCCGGTTATCAGATTCATCCGTAGATACATCGAGAACATCAAGGACAATGCCGGAGGTCCTGGAGTCGGCGGCGGGATAGGCTGCGGCGCTGGACTCGGCCTCGGACTCGCCGGAGGGCTCGGGTTAGTCACTTCTGAAGGGATTAACCATTCGAATGTTGTGTTTGGCATCGGTATGGGTTGCGGTATAGGCGTTGGGTTTGGGTACGGGTTTGGAGTTGGTGGTGGGTTCAATTTCGATGACATTGGAGATAAATTGACCTATGGGAATGGCTCCGGTTAAGATTCCGGGTCGGGTAAAGATTTGTATTAAATACATTTTCGTAAATTGTATTTTCAGTCGGAACACTTTGTCTTTTTGTCTTAATGAGTTCTTACTTGCTTAAATTTTCTTGCATAGCTCAACGTAAAAATGGTGTTAAAAAATAAAAGCTCAACGTAGAATCACAATTATGAAAGATAAACATGAAAACAATGAGGATAATTACATATTAACATTTCATATTAATATTAGTAAAAGTTTTATTAAATTTTTTTTTTTTATAGATTTAGAGTTTTTCTATAAATTTAGAGGACTATATTAGTGTAATTTTTTTTTCAAATTTTTTGGCGTTGATAGATCAATGTTTCATCAAGTTTGGTCCGTAACCGGTTTTGAGTGTAGTAGGATAGTTAGGTCGTATGGATTTTATTTGATTCTCGTTGTAATCCCATAGCTATCCGCTTATGTTTTTCGGAAAGATTAATAAAAAATTAATTTAGAAAAAAAATACATTGTAGGTTTCACTTAAAAATAAGAAATACATGGAAAGATGGTTTGGCTAACAGGAGCTAAGCTGATATATTAATCAGTTACAACCTTAAACAATAAAAGGAACAGAGTTTTTGTGAGACTCTATTTTAAGCAACTTTGGCTAGTAGTGAAGGCTCGGTCTCTCTCTTCTTGTGCTTCCATTGTATCACATAGACTAGACCCTTTAGTCTCAGGAAGAAGCAAAGCGAATAACCCAAGACCCGCCATTGCTATCCCAAAAACCGCGAAAGAAAGTGACGATCCATCTCTTCCAATCGAAGCAATGATTGGAGAACAAGCACCCGCGACAACAAGCGCTTGTCTAAGCATCAACGTTGCCGTGTTCCTCACGCATGTTGGGAACAGTTCAACCATATAAACCGCCATCAAGTTAAACTGAATCCTCCCGCAAAAGAAAGAAGCGAGTTCGAGAGCGAAGGCAACGTTTGTCATCCCGAAAATGCTTAGGACGAAACATAACACTCCTGATGCTCCTCCAAGTAAGCAATTCACAACCACAGAGCTTCTTCTGCTGAATTTCTCTAGCAAGATTGGTGTGATAACGAAAGTTGGTAACTCCACCATTGCGTTTAGGGCTTCACTCAAGTAGATATTCACTTTCATATCTCTCACGGCTAATGGAACTCCGTAATAAGACAACCCTGACCCTAACATTATGATCATAACAACTAAAATTCTTCGAAAAGCCCATTTTCTGACGAACAAGTCCTTCAGAGAGTACCTTTGGGCCTCTTCTTGGGCTTCTTTTGAAGGTAACCAAATAGATGCTGATTCCAAGTAACCTTTGCTTGCAGGTGAAATCTTCTTAGACCATGTTTATTGCAGGTCCCTTAAGTTGGGTCCCTTAGCGTACGGTCCCTTAGCTTTTAACTGAAAACGCTAAGGGACGTCCCTTAAATCCCTTATATAAGGGACGTCCCTTAGCGTTTTCAGTTAAAAACTAAGGGACTGTACGCTAAGGGACCCAGTTTAAGGGACCTGCAATAATCATGCTCTTAAGCACTTCAATAGCTTCTTCGTTCCTCCCTTGCAGATGAAGCCAACGAGGAGACTCAATAGCGAACAAATAGAGGAAAATACAGTACACAGCCGCGGGAACAGACGTGCAGAGATAGACAAATCTCCAGGAAGCGTGTCGGAAAAGGTAAGAGATTCCAGACAGCGACATGAAACCTAACACAAACAGAATAAACGGAATCATAGTAGCCCTAGGCCTCCATTTAGTGGAAACTCGCTCGCTTATCAGAACAAACACATACGTCCCGACCGGTGCACGCATGAATCCGACAACGAATTTTAAGAAAGCGTAGATCCATATGTTAGAGGAGAAGTAAATAGAGATTCCAGTGACTGACATTGCTAACGTTGTGAAAAAAAGAAGTTGCTTCCGTCCCAAGAAACCGTCTGGGATCATAGCCATGAAAAGCCCTCCAAAGATAGCACCCACGTAAAAAGCTGACGTGGGGAGACCTCTGAGGAAGGAGCTCGAGCATTGGAGATTAAACTCTGAGATGACGGATTTACTCTTGAAACCACCATCACAATCCCAAGCTGACCGAGGGATCTCACAGATGTTGGAGATTTGTGGGTTGCAGATTGTGCCATGTGGGGTATGCATCTGTGAAGACTGTGATGAATATCTGTTGAGAGTCGAAGGTTGAGGCAAGACCAATGAGGATTATCTGTAGTATCTGTGACAAACCGAAATCAGACAAGCTATGTTCGATGATCTTGTCGAAAATGAAATTAGATGGAGTGTCTTTATCTTCAGTTTGGGGCAACAATGGTGCTGATGTATTAGCCATTACTACAAAAAGAAAAAAAAAACAGTGCAGGTAAATGTCTATGAAGTCTGACTTTTTGTTCGTATTTGCTGCTCACGAAACTGAAATTAGACGAAGTATATGTACAATATTTGAATCGGAATATGAAGTCTTGACTTTTTGTTCATGAAGCAGTTCAAATCAGCTGGCATTGCATATGGTTATTTTTTTAGTTATTTTCTGAGCAATAGTTTAAAGTTGAAATATAAGGCATGTCACATGTGCATAACTAAATGTAGTATAATCTAGAGTTCTGTTATATTCAATTTTGATCCGAAGTTCGATTTAAAATTTGTTTTCGTTAAAAGCGCACCAAACTACAAATATTAACAGATTAAAAAAAATCTTTCTTTAGAAATTAGAGTACTGACAAGTTCTGTAAAACTAATTAAGCAAGTTTTGTAATAGAGTGTTTAATCTGATTTCTTATAAAGAAAATGCGTTTGCTAAATTCACATTGTTTCTTTTGTTAACTTCTGCGCTATTGTTCTATTTATCACCTTGCACCTACAAATATTTGCCTTCAGGACTGTTGAATAAGAGGTTCTTCCGCCTTTTTTCATACAGACAAATAATGTATACCAATCTTACTTAGTAAACCCAAAATGCATGAAACTTAACAACTATTACTTGTTTCCGACCTTCAGGTTCGAGGTTTCTCTCGCATGACTACCAGTTACGTCACGTTATTTTAACGAAGCGAGAACACATGCATTTTGCATTATGCAAAGCAACCCATACCTAATAAATACTCAAAACGAGATTTCAAGTGTTCCTTACAAAATATATTAAACAGAGTAAACTCAAACAACTTATCATATACAAATAATTAACTAGACATGAAGATCGTGGCCTTGACACTCATGGTTTTCGTCATACTTCTGACATCGTTTCCGGCTCCAAACAAAGCGGCATACACAAATGTGGAAGCAGCATGTGACCCAAAGCAGCTTCAGCCTTGCCTAGCCGCGATTACTGGAGGAGGACAACCCTCAGGTGACTGTTGTGCAAAGCTGAAGGAGCAACAATCATGCTTGTGTGGGTTTGCTAAGAACCCTTCTTTTGCTCAGTACATTAGCTCTCCCAACGCTCGCAAAGTTCTAACCGCTTGTGGTGTTCCTTACCCAAGTTGTTAAAACTCTTTAAGAGTTTTTACAAATAAATAAATAACGAGTAAGGAAGATGAATAACATTATATCAAACTGCTTTTTATGAAATAAATTAACCGTTAGTATATAATGGTTTATATATGGTTAAATAAAATGTACTTTCTCATATTATTTTGTGCCTTTACCGAGTTTAATGCCAAAACATTCCAAAGGATCAGTTTAATTTTAAATGTTCAAATAATTAGAAAAGTGTAATGGGAAGCAGTGGTACAAAAAAAAATTGGTGGGAAAACTTTGAACTGGTAGAATATATAGAGATCAAGAACGTAGATCAAATTTGATAGAGCAGAGAAAATTTTGATAGACTGAGAGAGAGAAAATTTTGATAGACTGAGAGAAACGACACTTGTATGAATAAGAACTAAAAGAAGAGGATTGGTATTGTCTTGGTCAATTTGGTCACGACCGCGTAGGCCTCTTTGTTCATGTTTGCTTCATCCTTCAGCTATAATCCATTCCATTTTTGAACTTATGTTTCCTTAACTAAAAAGTGCTAAACGCACAAAACTAAAACTATTTGTATAATAAGGAAAGAAAATACTAATCAGGTATTTTGTTGGAAATCCTATATAGTTTATATGGTTTTGTAATAACTAGCTTAATCATGTGTGTGTTAAGAGTGGATAAAGTTTCCTAAAGCCACTTCTTTTAAAATAAACATTTATTTGATTTATCCAACTGTCGGAACGCAAGATCGTATTTTATATTCTGCACTCAGAACGCAAGATTTATATTATATAGTCGGCGGCTTTGCATAAAGGAAGCATGTATAATTTTACATATATTCACCATGTGGGAAGATATATATTATAACACTAAATTTACTCAACGTAAGAAGCGAGATGTTATTAAATTCATTGATTCTTGACCGATGCAAAGATAATTCAAAATTTTTTGATTCTCCAATTGAGACCTTCGTTGAATTATTTGCTTTCTTTATACTACTTGTTCTTGTTAACAACTAATTAATAGTACACTTTTTTTCCCTTTCCTGTAAACAACTAATAATGAGTAAATGTCTGTTCTTTGAGTTATGTTCTGATATACAAATGAATCTTAGGTGAGACATTATAAAATTAACCGGAAATTTTTAACTAGAACAACTAACTATCAAATATAATAAATTAGCCGAAGGATTGGATAATGAAAAGTTTTTTCTTTGTAACAGATAATGAAAGTTTTTTTTTGATAATAAAGAAATTCTCCATTTCGTGGGTTATTTCCCTGGGCCCGGTTAAGTAGCGGTCCACTTCATCCGGAAAAGTTTTACCTGGATTGAGAACAAGGCCCAACACACAATACCGCATTTGGTGATAAGAATCGATAGTTTCCCTCCGTCTGACATTGAATCCGTGAGCATGACAATTGACTCATAATGTCTTTACCAAACGAGCTACCTCATCCCGTACAGATAATGAAAGTTTTGTCGCATATATTGGTTGAGTTAAATACTTCCAACGTAGTCATCAAATAATCGATGTTCAACGACGTTGGCAGGACATAGGACGCCTAGCAAATTAATCAAAGAGTAAACGTGGTTTGTATATCTGCAGATAAGTGAGTATATTATTAACAAACCTAATCCTTTTTTATTATCTCCTTCTTATCCACGCGTGGTTTACCGTTTTTACTTCTTTTCATATATAGTTTTTTTTTTGTTTTTTATCAAAACTTTAGCTATATACAACATAGAAAATTACAGTATAGTTCAAATTTAAAATAAAAACATTATCCAATCCTTCGGCTAATTTGGCTAGCTTTAAATCAAAAACATTATCCAATTCTTCGGTTAATTCACAAAAATTTCTGTTTCAATTTCCATATCAGCTACATTTGCCTAGCTTTAGCCTTAATCTAAGATAAAAAATTTACTAATAACTATTTAATAGAATATTTAACTAATATCTTTATAATTAACAAATTTATAAATATTGTAAACAAGTTCAACAAGTATTATTCCAGCTAAAAATGTCATTCAAGTATGATTATAACTAAGAACCCTTTCCAATTTAATTTATTTCTGTACAAATATGAAAACAAAACTTAAAAAGTCTCACTAAATTGGATATCCTAATCAACGGTTTAGTATACGTGTATATCATTAGGCCCGTCTCAAAAATTTATTGGGTCCTGTGCAATTTATAAAAAGAATTACATGTAATTTGTGAAAATGGATCTAAAATTTTTTTGCGACCCTAAATCTTAGTTAAAATTTATAAAAAAATTATAAGACCTGTGCAAATGTGCGTTGGACACATGCCTAGAGATGAGCCTGTATATCATACTCCGAGTCTGAACATATTTCACTCCCCTCATGACACGACCAGGCCGACCCTCAATCATTGGATGGTAAGGAATCACTTGCTTTAATAAGAAGACACGATTGGAAAAACATATACTGTACACCTTTTGACAAGTTGGCACTGCATGTTTAACCATTTCATTTTCTCTATTTTGAAATTGCAAAAAACGTGAGACGAGTTTAGGTCATCAAAAATTTAATAGGCATCAAAATATATTGTAAACAGTGACAGGTGAAGAGAGTCAATAATGTTGAGAAAAGAAAGAAAGAAATAAGAGGACCTATTGGTCCCTCCTCTGGCTATAAATTAACCTTATGTTTCTCTCCCTCTTTCAACTCAAAACTCAGACTCCAATTCTCTGCTTGTTTAGTTCATACAAAATATATGGATAACTCTAGCCTGAAAGATCTCTCACGAATCCTCCCTCGCGTCCTTGTCGTCTCTAGACGCACCCTACGCAAGAACAAGTTTGTTGACTTCGTTGGTAATAATAATTTCTTGAAATGTTCTATGTTTTGTAATAAAAAAACATTTACCGCTACATTTTTGGTGGGTTTATGTTGGATTTGTATTTGTTTTGGTAGGTGAGTACCATCTTGATCTTATAGTGGAATATGGTGCTGTGCCTGTTATTGTACCACGAGTAGCTGGAGTTGACAAGTTACTTGAAAGCTTCAAGCCCATCCATGGAGTACTCCTCTGTGAAGGAGAAGACATCGATCCTTCTTTTTACGAGTCAGAAATCTCTTCTCTTTCACCTGAAGAACTTGACGAGATCAGGAAAACACATGCGAGTGACGCAGCTATAGACAAGGAAAAAGACTCTATTGAGTTTGCTCTTGTAAAGCTATGCCTTGAACAGAACATTCCTTACTTGGGAATTTGCAGAGGATCACAAGTAAGTTATCCAGTAATCTTTTTTTTTTTTTTAGTTATCCAGTAATTATTTGTTAGTTCTTTGTTGACAAGAGAACATAATAGAATAATATCCGTAGCCAAGTCGCTGAGGTAGACATCTATATTATTAAAAGAGAAGTACCCATATAAAATACCCCTGAATTTTTCTAATTATTTACAATGTTATGCCACTGAAGTTATTAATTAACCTATTTTATAGGATTCTTTGTCTTTTCACTTTATTTAATGCATTTCGAAAATCAAATTTTAACTAAAAATAATTATGGAAACAATAATTAATGAAAATAATAATTTATATATATAAATTTCGTAATTAAATAAATAAATTATATAGAAATTGTTTTACTAATTCCATATACATAATAATTAATTCCAATATTAATTAACCTACCTTTTAGGATTTTTTCTTATTAATTATCTACATATCTTTAAATAGTTAATGAACAATATTTTTTTCAAAGATATATAATTATATTTTTATTATTTATAAGTAATAACTAAAATAAAAGTCACAAAAGAAACATTTATAATATACGATAAAAAGATTAATATAAACATATCATGTTATGTATATTTCTATATAAATAATAGTTCAAGGTAAATTCAGAATAATAAAAGTTATGTAACTATTACAAACATACATCATTTAGTATAAACTTAAAAATTAAAAGAAAACAAAACACCCGTCCGGTCGGGCGGGTCATGGTCTAGTTTATATTATTATTGTGAGTAGTATAGTAAGAAATAAAAACTTTTTGAAAATGGAAAAAGCTACTTTAAAATATAAACTAAACTAACTAGACAAAGATCTATATATTCAAAATCATATCCATCAATTTAGTAAAGATTATAATTAAAAAGAAATAGGAGAGCCTTCTTATTTAATTTGAATTTTTTCTTGAGATCCAAAACAAATGTTTCATTTTGTTTATGTTCCGGACCGGCTCTGACTAAAAACCTTAAAGTATTGGACTTATTCACGTACCAGGTTGGTTAATTAACTGAATATTAACGGATCAGACGATGAAACTTGTAGGTTTTGAATGTTGCTTGTGGTGGGAGTCTATATCAGGACTTGGAGAAAGAGGTCACGAGTAAGCTTCCCGAGGAACGTAGAAGAAAGCACATTGATTATGATGACTATGATGGTTATAGACATGAGGTGAAGATAGTAGAGAACAGTCCTTTGCATAAATGGTTCAAAGATTCCTTGGATGAAGAAAAGATGGAGATCTTGGTCAACAGTTATCATCACCAGGGGGTGAAGAAATTGGCTCAAAGATTCGTGCCAATGGCCTTTGCTCCGGATGGATTGATTGAAGGGTTTTATGATCCTGATATGTATAAACCCAAAGAGGGCAAGTTTCTCATGGGTTTACAGTTCCATCCAGAGAGGATGAGAAAGAATGGTCTCGAAGAATTCGATTTCCCTGGTTGTCCTGGTGCTTATCAGGTTTGTGGATTTTGAACTACAACATTTTCTTGATTGGGTTCATATTCTTAAAGATGTGGTTTTTAACTGGCAGGAATTTGCGAAGGCAGTTATTGCATATCAAAAGAAAGTGAATAGCTCATTGTCTGTTCCTAGAAAATTGGAACTCAATCCAGAAATGGAGAACAAAAGAAAGATACTTGTCAGGAGCTTCTCGCTTGCAAGGTCAATGTACACCAGATCTTATTCGATGAAGAACCAATCCACAGAATCAGAACTAGACGTTGGAGCTGAGTTTCTTGAGGTATATAATA